GAGGGGAAGGCCCTCTATGAGGTGGATTGATTCAGTGACTGGGAAAATCGGGATGGGAGTGTCAGAGACAGTGTGATTGGCACAGGACAGAGCATAATTTAGGGCTGTTGTACATAGGGTCGCTATGAGTCGCAAGCGACTCAACGGCACATAACAACAACAATAACAACAACAACAACAACAGAATAAAACAAGGTTGGAAGTAGGAGTGACATCTGCTTCCAAAAAAGCTTGCCTCTGGAAACTCTATGAACTTGGAGAAAAGATGAAAGTTTTGTGTTCAAGACTTTTGTTTATAAGGTCGCTAAGGGTTGTCTATGACTCTAAGACACTTAACAACAACAACAACAACAACAACTTAACAACTGTGATGCTAGATGTATGACGTTGGCTTTTCAAATGTCAGCAAACTCACCTACAGTGGATAGGTTTTCATAGAGCTCCTACATTAAGTCAGATTAGAAGCAGGATTTGTACACAGCAAGTAAGAGCAATGCTTTTGTAAATCACTACGTAACTTGGGAGGGACTGGAAAGCATTATGCAAAGTGAGCTAGCTCAGTCCCATAAGGACAAATACTGTTCATTATTGTAGAATGTGTATGAGGATCCAAGTGAGGGAGGGAGCAGAGAAGTCAGAATGGGGGATGGGAGTGTTAACCATAGCATTACACAATTTGATGGGTTGAGTGATGGTTGGATAAAGAAAATGGGAAAGATTTGGTGTGGAAAACAATGTATATGAACTTTGTAAGTAAATCAGTATAAAATAAAAATTGTATTTTAAAAAAAGATAAGAATAAAAGGCAAGATTGGCCATCCACTTAAAAAAGTAGCAGGCCTTTTAAAACTCAATGAACAATACAGAAGCATGGTTAAATATAGTATTAGAGGTAGAACCCTAGATTGGAATAAAAATGAGGAGAAACAGTTTTAAACATCAATAGTAGTTGGGATTTGGAATCAATAAAGTAGGAATCTATGAAAACTAGGAGTTGTAGAAAATGAAATGGAGCACATAAAGGTTGACATTCTAGGCATCTAGCTTCCTGATTAAAACAAACTTGGAAGCAGGAGTGGTATCCCTTTCCGAAATGGCTTGCCTCTGGAAACTCTACGAACAGTGCTCAGATCTTTCGTTCTTAGGGTTGCTATGAGTTGTCTATGACTTGACGGCACTCAACAACAACAACAACAACAACAACAACTGAAACCTGTATCTAGACCAAGTTGTTGTGCGAACAAAGCAAAAGAACTATACGTGATTTAAAATCAAGCAACGTGTGTGTCACAAATATATCTTTTCTCCATCCCTATTCAATCTGTATGCTGAGCAAAAGAAGCTGGACTCTATGAAGAATGTATCAAATGAATCAAATGCATCAGTATTGGTTGAAGACTCATCAATAATCATTCAAATGTATATGAAATAACCTTGCTAGCTGAAAGTAAGGAGGACTTTAAGCTCTTGATGTAGAAAATCAAACACAGCAGCCTTCAATACAGATAACATCTCAACCTCAAGAAAACAAAAATTAGCATCACTGGACTTACAGGAAACATAATGATAGATGGATAAAAGATTGAAAACTATCAATATCTTCATTTTACTTGGATCCAATACACTTGGTACTAGCAGTCAGGAGATCAGGCAATGTATTTTAGGGGAAAAGTCTGGAGTCAGAGACCTCTCTAAAGTACAGAGGAACAATGGTGTCAGTTTAAGAACTAAGGTGCATCTGATTCAGACCATAGTCCTTTCAACCACTTGATATGCATCTGAGAACTGGACAATTAATAAGGATGACGGAAGAATTGATGCCTTTAAACTGCGATATTGGAGAAAAGTACAGAATGTCCTGTGGACTGCCAAATGAACAAAGAGAAGGTACAGCTAGAATGTTCCTTGGAGACAAAGATGACAAAGGCTTCAATCTTGTAAAATTCAGGCATGTTTCTAGGAATGACTTTTCCATGGAGAACATAATACTTGTAAAAGTAGACCCTCCACAAGATGAATTACCATAGTGACTGCAGCAATGGACTTGAATATGTCAGAGATTGTGAGGTTGGCACAAAATAGGACAAGGTTCAGATCTGTTGTTCATAGGATCACTATCAATCATATTCTACTTAAAGGCACCTAAAAACAGCAGCACAAGTTTTGCAGTCCAAAATTTTCCAAACATGTAAGTATAACAAAGAGAAATTGTTAAATAGTATAATATTTAATGATCTCTAGGGAGGTATGGTGGCTTATTGGTAAGGAATCATGTCACCAACTCAAAGGCAAGTGATTCAAACCCACTAGCTGCTTTGTGGGAGAAAGATAAGTAATCTCCCACACAGTTTATGGTCTTTGAAAACCTGCTGAAGAATCAGCAATTCAGCTATGATTAGGTACCAGCTCAATGGCACATAACAGCAACTACCTCCAGAATAATAAGTATTTAAGTTTTAAAAGTTTACAAGTTATCATCAGATCAGTTATCTATTGAATTTATCTATTCAGTTATCTATTGAAGTTGGGAGAAAAAGAAAATATAGGATAGAGTTGATAATCTAGTTGCAAAGGCAATTGCAAATATGCACCATGAGGTTAAGATCCTAGAACCCTGGAATTGTCGTTATTTTGATTTAGAGGATTTAGATGAATCAGGTCTCTCCTCCAGCATCAGGGCCCAGGACATCCTACTGAAACTTGACTTTGGGAACTAAGACTTTGTATAAAGTTTGGCCATGCCATTATGATCTATAGGTAAAAGATTGTGCACATAAAAATGTAAATAATTCTATCTGTGTAATTCAGGAAATGAGAAAAAAATATTCCAAGGAAATATCTTCCAAGGAAATGTTCCAAGCAAATACTGAGAAGTATGGAATGGCTTCACAGCAAGTAGAACAGACATCTGGCCAGTAAAGTAGAACATAGATTTCCCTAGTGAGTTTTTCTTAGACACCAGACTGGGAAATTCTTAAGTTTAGCTCTGCTGTATTAAGGAAACTACTAAGAAATAAAAATCTTTCAGATAGAAGATAAAATAACTCCAGCTTCCAAACTGTGACCAGCAACCAGCAATTTACAATTCTCAGAGATTCTGAGTTGTTTATCAGTATTCGAAAAGGCATGCCGTAGGATGTAATTCCCAGCTCTGAAAACAGTCTAAGATTCAGTCTTCAGGGAAAAGACATAGGGAGATTAATTTAGACTTCCCCTGAAGAATGGGAAATTAAAGAATGTATAGAAACTTTTTCAAAACTTCATGTTCTATGACAAGAAACACATTATTTAAACCGAATTAGTTCATAATGAGCTTCTACTATTCAAAAACAACTTGAAAGTCAACAGTGGAACACAGTGTCCTGATCCAAGGTCTCCACAAAGTCAACTCAGGTAAAGCTATAAAATATACTTGCAATATTTGGGGACATGTTGAAAGAGAGGGAGAGACTTGATTTCTTTGCCATAACACAGGGAATTGACTAGGAATAATATTTTCTCCCATGCTAGGATGAGTCTAAGAAAAGATAGGAATAACTTACAGAGATACAATGACTGATCCTAGCATTGGAGAAATTGGGACGCAAGAGTCAGAAGACAAAAAAAACCAACTGATTAATGACACCAGGCAGTCAGAGGTTTAAAAGTATATTTTCTGTTATCAACCTTTTGATTGCCAATAAAGGCATAACTTTATTGCTATAATTTAGTTAGACATGTTAATATCTTCATTTCAACAAATTTCAGACCATCTAATCTTTCTTCAGAATTTGAGAATTCAGTCCTCTAAATTTCTGTGCGGATCAGAAGACCACTTCCAGACATTTCCTTCTCATAAATGGCATCAAATTTTTCGTTTTGGGCTACTGTGAAGTAATTTTTCCAGTCACCTGTAATTCCTAAAAATAATAAATAAGAAAATATAAGTGGGCAAAAAAACTAGTATATACCAAGAAGACAGGTTATAAGATGTAAAGACTTTGCTTGACCGTTTATAATGTAATTTCATTTTTGGGAGGCATTCCTCATATCTGTAAATGTGGCTTGTCACTAAACACAAATGTAGATTTCAGAACACATTCTGAAAAGGGTTAATTCTCTTGTTCAGAATAGGAGTTGTACAATAATTTCCTGAGAAAAACTATTTTACTGCTTCAAACTGCCCTTTATCACAGGGTTAACTTGGATACTTTGGATCAATGGTCAACATGTTTTATTTCAAGATAAATGTGTGCAAAATAAACAGTGAGCTGGCCATAATAGTGTTAAACATTACTAAATCCTGGAATGGGAAATTAATGTGCATTATTTCTCAGAATTCATAAATAAGCATGATATATTAAACGGAAACTTATTTTCTATAACAGTGCTAGACTTACAAGTTATTTTTATCTTAGATGACAAGAATAACATAAAAATAAAATATTGTATACCTGACCCATTTTATTAAAAGTGAAGCCTGTAAACAAAATTTCATTTAACCATTTATGCTTCAATGCTTATAAATTCTAATGTACAGTCAAGACGCTAAAAGTAACAATGGTTTGATGAAGCTACCAAATTCTTTTAATGAAGAATAAATCCACAGTCAGTGTGATTTTCCTAGTTATTAGACATTGTTCTCTTTTTTCAGATAGAAATAGTTGTTTGCAATTTACATAAGGAATTGACACAAATGCACCTGGATTACTGATTCTATGAGTGTTTAATGAAAGGCAATGGAGTGAAGGACTGCAGCCTTCAGTATGGACTGAGGCTCAATGTCAAGAAGACAAAGATTCTCACCACTGGACCAATTAGTAGCATCAGGCTGGAT